TCGGACTGTTTGTGCGGCGTCACTTCCGGCAATGAGCATCAGACGTCAACAACATAAAGCTGAGGAGAAAACGCTGAGATGCAGAAAATCGACAATGTTTATTTGTTGTACGTATGGTTTGTGGGATAGAATATACTTGTAATTTACATTAAGTAAACATAGATAATGTATTGCTTGAGTTGATGTCCTGGTAAGACGAGATTTGATTGTTGTATTTTGACAAGTGACACAAACAAGAAATGCGAAATGAAGGCAAAAATATTTTTTGTTCAAAACAAATTTACAAGTTTTTGTCACATTTTGGTCAATGCATATGTTCTTTCATGTGAAATTGAATGCTTTTATTGAAAATCGATTATTTATATTACTGTTTGAAGTGTCAATAAAAAGTAAACAATTTATGGAAGCATGGAAGAAGCATATGTGTCAAATTAGTGTCTACTGCACAGTATTTCAGTGAAGCAGCACTCAAAAAGGCGCCATTAATATGCTTTGTCAAAAGAAATTAGCCTGCAAAGAGTCTGAATGTGAATTTTTAATATACATTGAATACCAATTAATTAACACTAATGATAACTTTTAATTTATTTTATAACACAGGTGTGCACCACAATTAATTGAAGCCATAGAAGCACATAACATTGCCGTGAACATATGAGGAGGAAGCTGTAAAGACCCACAAATTCCAAATTGTTTACATCTGCATGTAATGTACTGAGAATAGATGCTCGTCAACCTCAATGCATGTTTATATTGCGTCATGTCATCTTGCCTGTGGTAGTGTGGTCATGGAGGTGTAGCAATGGTAGCACTGAACTCGTACAGCCCATCTCGACGAATTGAAGCCTCATCCAGAAGTTCCTTATAGGTAATACATCATTGCACTAGATTTATTTATCTAAAAAAGCAAATGAATGGTATATTGAATGTAGGGCCATGACAAGTGAATATTCAAAACACTTGGGAATTGACATTTCACTTGCGATGGCCTCGTGTTTTTTTCATGAGACATCATTCAGATACATTTGTGAAATTTCTTCTGGATATTAAAAAGATTTTAAGAAATATCAAGATACCTTTTTTTAACACCTAGCTTTGTTATTGTCTATTCCAGAAATGCACGAACAATATTGAAAGAAATGTGTCTGACGACTCATTTTCCACCAGAGGACATTGAAACACACAAAGTGGCAATCTACAACTGTACAGTACTCAGTTTTATAGGAATGGTGGATTTGATGATGCAGTGAATAGAAATCTCTATGAAGGGGATGCCAAGGTTTACAGAATTGACTTTTTGCAGAATTACTTGGTTGCCTGACAGTAACCCCATCATTGTGTGTTTGTAAATATTGGTAGCTACAATTATGATATGGTGATATCCGATGGGATGATGTTGTCATGGTATCTGTCTCACTAAGCAAAAGACATCTAAGTTTTTGTTCACATCTGCAACTACATGTCAAGCAACATTCTGAAGTTTGTACACTCGCGAGTGATGTACGGGAGCACTCAAATCGTACCAGAGTAGTCCATGGCGTAAGTAAAACTTGACTGATTTAGTTGGCCGAAGTATTGCAGAGAACATTGTTTTACGAATAAGTAAATTGGTAAATATGCCAATGTCTTGATTAAATTGGAAGGAATGTGATTATTCCAAAAGCTTCAATACTGATGAACGAAGATCAAATTAAAATTTGACACATGATCCAACCGCTAAAGTGAAATCTTATGTATGGAATTTGTTTTTATTTTTTTTCAAAAATTACAAATATACCTAGTAACTTTTTCGCCACCCTACTAATCCGTTGACATAAAATAAGGTGACACTGGGTTTACTGTTTTATACGATGATTCAAATGTCTTGTATGTGTATGCAATATGCTAATTAATGTAATTATCAATATAAATCAACTACTGTGATCTAATATTTGTTATTGACTCTTTTTTTTAACAAACCATAACATACATATCATGCATTATTATTCGGTTAAAAAGATGGTTTTAGAAAAAAAATCGATGTTTGGTATAACACTACATGGGCCTCCATAGTTTTAGACAAGTAGTTCCAATATGGCTGATTTTTTATGGTGAAATTAACTAATGACTTGACTTTGAAGTTGGGATTATCAGTCTTTTGGAGCAGTTTCATTAACTTTCAACAATCCCACTACCTAAAATGAGCTCTAAGGAAGATTTTGACTGATATTTCTTTGCTAATCGACTCTGTTTTGTGTAGATATGTTATTTCCTGCATAAAGTGTAATTAATCCAATTAAAACAATATTAACGAACTAAACTTAACTGAAAGCTAATACACACTTTTACTCATATCCTAAGGATCGTAGTGATACCAAAATAAGGCTATCGAGGTAACATTCAAGAAATTATGACCTTTTGTAACTTAGTTGAAAACAGACTTTACATGAACCTTAAGGATTTCTCCATTACTGATTAAAAACGCCAGGAAAACATTGTCTCTAGTCAAATTCTTGTCAAAGGAGTATCAAACAATATAATCAAGAAGAATTTTGTGGTAAGGTTATAAAAAAGCTTACTTCACTAAATTGTCCCTTTAATGTGGTTTGATGGTATCTAAAACCACATATTAAAATATTGAAAGAGTGCAGAGTTATCGAGGCAAAAAGCATGTAGAGAATCCGTAAAACTATTGGTGTGTTCAGGTTTCTGGCCCGAAAAAAACATCGATCAAGTGTGTATGTGTGGGATTTTATTTCTACGGGGGGTGGGGGTGGGGGATGGGGGTCCCCCGGGGGGTCCCATCCTGCTGGATCCGCTGATATGTATTTTGTGTCTTACAGTATCGATATATGACATGACAGTGTTTTCTGCATACCTTATTCGCAAACTTTGGGTTTCATTACAATTTTACATGGTATGGTCACTGATTTGATCCGTACCGACGGATCATGCACTCCGTACACACAGGATCATTTCGAAAAATTACTCCGTACTGAACGGATTCTCGTGAAATTGTAGTTCTTGAAAGATAGTTCAGTTTTGATATGAGATAAAATGATCTTGACATCCATATTTGCAAGTGTTGTAGAAAACATATCAAAGTGCACATTTTGTTGCGCAGCATAATACACATTAGGTGATAAAACAGTACCTGTATACAACAAGATCACGATATGTTTATAGAAAATCGTTTGATTAAATGCGGCACAGTGTGACTATTGTTTTGGTATGATTTCCGGTATTTTGGTAATGTGATATTTGAACATTTCATTTTGGTAAGAACTGTCTTAAAATATGAAAAAAACTGACATCTTTAAAAATAAAAATAATGTTAATGCGACTTTGCTGTCGGTGCGCATTAACTGGATCACTCCGTGATATACTGATAGGGGTATACCGGGTATGGGTGCGCATAATGAGCAATCGGCCAGACAAAAGAAAACACAGGTTCGAATTATTCCAAACAAGTAAAATCATATAATAGAGTAACGTTTTTTTTTACAAATTTATCCACAAAAAGGATAAGTGTTGTTTTCAAATTCAATTATAAATTTAAAAAATACTGATACCAAAGGTGATGGGTCGACTAGAGCCCTGCTATATCTACCGTTACGTATAACCTAACGAAAGTCAATAATCTAACAGCTCCACAGTCAGGCCTGGCATGTTAAGCTGTGGTGGAGAGTGGAGGGTGTATAAAATGTTCAGTCCCTCCACGCTATGAATATGTGCTGGAGTATTAAGCGTGGACATCTTGTACCGTTGTATGACTCTAGACGACTTCCACGTTCACTCCACTTTGTCCAATGGTGTAGTGTGGAGCCACGTTTCACCGTGGAGTGCGGGTGGGGGACTGAACGTGGAGTCACGGTGGCGGGCAAAAAACCCACCACCGCGAAACGTTGGGATTGTATGCCTCCACGCGGTGTCTAGTGTTAGCAAAAATACCAAAATGTCTCTTTCAGAGTACAGTTACACCTGTTCAGGAGTCTACGTGCCCATGATAATATTTTACGTTTTGATTTAAGAAACGTGCTAATCCTGGAAAAACCAACTTGCCATAGAAAAGAAAAAGTTGATGGTATAAATTAATAAACCTTTTTAGAATGGATGCTGGGGTATCAAATTCCTAAATATTTAACTAAAAATGTCCCCTTTTGGGTACACTTGCGTTATATGGACTGGATACTGAAGCAAATCTTTATATACTTCATACTGTGACAAATAAATATATACAGGATACTGCATCAACTCTATACTGTATAAGTAACGGAATCTTCAAATTTTTGTATTTGTTGACATAAAATTCGTATATCATCAATCTTAACTGTGATCAATATGTGAATGTGAAATATACTATTCTTGAAATATTTTTTGTTTTGTATTTGTGTATGTGAAATATGTAAACATGCATTTGCAGACGTTCAATGTAGAAATCGTGAAACATTTACTGTAATGCAGTTGTGAAATTGAGATATGTAACTCATGAAATATTTACTGTAATGTATTTGTGAAATTGAGATATGTAACTCATGAAATATTTACGGTAATGTATTTGTGAGCCTTAAATATATAGCTCGCGAAATATTTCATGTAATGTATTTGTGAGCCTGAAATATGCTACTCGTGAAACTTTTACTGAGATGTATATATGGACCCAAGTTCATGAAATGTTTACGGTTATGTAGTTGTTGACGTATTATGCTTTATATTATCATTACTGGAAACATCAGGAACATTCTTGCACATAATATCAACCCTCGGTAATATTTGTTTCTTTAAGGCATCCATTTGATTGACTCGTTCCTGATGATTAGAAGCAGCGAAAAGAACAAGAACAAGAACACACACAAACACACACTTATCTAGTGCCTACTTCTATGATAAAGCGTTAGAAATATGTATCCTTCTTAATAACCTAAACGTTTGTATCTCACGAAATCTGAATGATTTATTGAAATATTAAGTCTTGGAAATATTACATAGAGTTAAGTTATAGTTAGGTATGAGATATATTTCAGTCCAGGGACATTCCAAGTGCACTCATCAGAGCGGTAACGAATGCACATTACCAGTACTTTAGTCCTTTTCGTGGGTTGTTGCTGGTTCGGCGCTGTTCCAAGCAGATGGAATGTTGCTCGATTGTGCAATAGGCTCCGATGAATTCCCTGGTTGTACTACTGGTACTGTCGAATGATAGACTTGAGGAGGGTAGGCCTGTGGTGGGAAGGCCTGCGGTGGGAAGGCCTGTGGAGTGAAGGCCTGGGGCGCCTGGTAACCCTGCGGTAGGTAGCAATGAATCTGTCCTGGTATCTGTTGTTGCATGGGGATGTTCATACGATTGCTCACTGCATATAAATGAAATATGATTACAAAACAGCAACTGTCACTTATAATTTCAATGAAATATCTTTTTCTTTAACTCTAAAACGTCTACCATTTTTTTAGTGAACGTCGTCATGCACTTAGCGAAAGTTTTGTTACTAATATTACAATGAGGTATTCTTTTTTTAACTCTCTAATGTCTACCAATTATTTAGTGAACGTCGTCAGGCAGTTAGCGAAAGTGTTCAAAATACATAGTGATTGACTTTGAATTGACTATTCGCGAAGTGTTCCGAGGAATCTTCCGGGAAAAATACTATTTCGTTTGTTTTCGTTTTAAATTTTGCACAAAAAAATTACTGGTGGTATTTTGGAAGGCGGACGAATAAGGATTTTTATTATCAGAAAACTATTTTATCTACATGTATTTACAATCAATAATATCACAAATTGCATTTAGCTTTATCTTTCGAAACACAACGTGTTCCCTCTTGTGTTTTGTATTTGCCACTTATTATAAAATACGAAAAAACGAATATTTATATGAGGATAGGTATTTCTTTTCATTTTCATGCTGGTACGAAAGCAAATCGGTTACATGTAAACTCTTTGAAGCCCTCGCGGGCTTTATTGTAATAGCGATGTTACTAGTTACATGTATAGTGATGGCGGGCTTCATTGAAACATGGATGTTACCAGTTTGCATTCATACCGGAATGAACATTGAACAAACTTCCATTCAGATTCTAAATTTTTAGTTAGTATTGACCTGTGTCGTAATTGTAAACGAGATTCCTGTAACAGCCTAACGTCACCAAAATGCTCATCTACGCTGACCCAATTTCTTATGGTAATGCTTGTAGTGGACATGTACATCCATTTAAATACTGTAAATCACATACCCATAGCAACACCCTGTGGCCCAGTTGATGCGGGGGCTACCATGACACCGTTAACTTTGTTTTTGTTGATATTCTTGCAGACACAACAGATCCCAGTTACCATCACTGCAAAGAAGACTATGCTTCCGAGAGTAGATCCAACGATTACACCAATCCTGTCAACAGAAAAAAGCGCTTTAGACATTTTCGCTTTCTTCAATGAGATATTCACTTTTGAACTGGTCTGATTTGGTATCACAATGATCAACTACACCTTAGCAACAGTATTTTAACGGTGCTAAAGTGTAGCTGAGCATTGTGATACCAAATATGTACTTACTTGGTATTAAAACTACACCTAAGCAGCAGAATTACAACGGTGCTGAAGTGTAGTTGAGCATTGTGATACCAAATATGTACTTATTTTGTATTTAAACTACACCTTAGCAACAGCATTATAACGGTGTTAAAGTTTAGTTGAGCATTGTGATACCAAATATGTACTTACTTGGTATTAAAACTACACCTTAGTAGCAACATTATAACGGTGCCAAAGTGTAGTTGAGCATTGTGATACCAAATATGTACTTACTTGGTATTAAAACTACACCTTAGTAACAGCATTATAACGGTGCTAAAGTGTAGTTGACCATTGTGATACCAAATATGTACTTACTTGGTATTAAAACTACACCTTATTAACAGCATTATAACGGTGCTAAAGTGTAGTTGACCATAGTGATACCAAATATGTACTTACTTGGTATTAAAACTGCACCTTAGAAACAGCATTATAACGGTGCTAAACTGTAGTTGAGCATTGTGATACCAAATATGTACTTACTTGGTATTTAAACTACAACTTAGCAGCATTATAACTGTGCTAAACTGTAGTTGAGCATTGTGATACCAAATATGTACTTACTTGGTATTAAAACTATACCTTTGCAACAGCATTATAACGGTGTTAAAGTGTAGTTGAGCATTGTGATACCAAATATGTAGTTACTTGGTATTTAAACTACACATTAGAAACAGCATTATAACGATGCTAAAGTGTAGTTGACCATTGTGATACCAAATATGTACTTACTTGGTATTTAAACTACACCTTAGCAACAGCATTACAACAGGTAAAACCAGCTTTAGATTAAAATAGCGATTTCCCAGGCTCTTGAATAAGTATAACTTCATGTTCTGAGCAGTAGTACTTCAAGGAGTTTCAATTTGACCAAATCAGACCCTAGGAAGCTGAGACCATAATTTTCAATACAGTCCTGCAATCTGGTAATGTTGTTGCAAAATATGAAGGAAAAAAACGTCGGCAAACAATGGACCCCATCTTTGTCTGTAAGGTATGCTTATAAATAACACAATCATCCTACTTTCCTGTTATGACACACGGTCGTCTTACGGAAGAGAGTGCTGTCTCAAACAGAGGAGGGGCGTTTAGAATAGTTGTTTTTCTTAAAGTAAGCTCCGCCTGAACTTCATATTTGTTTTCTATAAAAAATACTTACACTGAATCATCACTACTGTAGTATGTGGGGTCGTACAAGTAGTTCGAGGTACAGCAGTATCGGGAGGTAGTGTAACCACAGCAACCGTAGGAACAGTAGTCATAGTAACTGTAGTAGTAGTAGTAGTAAGAGCCCGAGTAGTACGAGTAGCCATACTGAAGTTCGTAGCAGATGCTAGCTGAAGATATGATCCCTGTCACAAATAAAGGTTTATGATATATTAGGCAATATTATACACAAATAATGTAACTTTATTGGTGTATATTAAAGTATGTGTGATATCAGGCGTAAAATCTTTAATCTCAGCTTTCGAAACTGATTTTAACAGGTCGGCCCACATATTAGTATTTCTATGTCAGGTCATGTACAAAGTACAACCAACGAGATATTTTGTTTTGAAAGTATCAATAAATTGTTGAATCATGTAACTTTGCATTTGATATCTGTCCATTGTTAGCTCTCCGATGGTATATGACGTAGTACGGTCGTCTTTCATTTATTTCAAACTGAAATAAACTGTAACCATGGCATTTTTTCACAAATATATTTTCTATTGAATCGAAAATTCCGATAAAGAGATAAAATGCAGTTGACTTTCAGTGACCTCATGTCTTATCTCATATCAGGAAGTCACAGAAAAATACAAGGAGATGAAACACCTACAAGTCTTGAGGAAAAGAATCTATAATTGCGGAACTTGGAAAATATAAAAATAACTAAGTAAAAAAAATCATATTTCACACCCCTTTTCCATAAAGCAAGCGAAAGTTTATTTGTTAAAGACAAACGCTTTCGCTGTACGCAAATACAGTACTTTTAGCTATCAAAAGTTATTAAAGCTAACAAAACTATCAATACATATAATATTAAACTATGTCTCCTTCGGGTGCTCTCTGCGCTGAACATGGTATAACTCCAAAGAGTATCGAAGAACATAGGCTGTTCATTACTGCTCGACAACGGTAAGTTGAAACGGCAACAAGTATAATATAAAAAGTAAAACGTTGAGTCCGCACATACAAACTATGAATATTGTTCATGATACCAGGTAACTGGTGATAGATCTGGGTGACAACTTAAAATATAGGATGAAACAAACCTGTATACAATAGGTGATAAATAAAAACTCTAAGGTTTATAAGATTGCAATACAATGTATATTTAATCGCCATGCATAGGCTTAAACATTTTATAACCATAATCCATAAATTGCTGCAAAGAATATTCAAGATTATTAGAACTTTCAGTTTTACAAAGTATGTCGTAAGAAGTAGTTATGCATAACATTATTGTACATGGTGGACAGGAATTAATTGAAGAAGATTAAATGACTTATTTAAACATCCGAAGTTTTACAAGTGTTTTTTTTTTAAATAACCCTTTCATGCTGATTAGGATGAGAAAGCTATTGTAAACAATAGGTAAATATAGTTGTCTGATAAGTATAACCTGTGAATTTTCACATTTAGATAATACTTGTATATTATAATCATCGCAAATTGAGATAACACATTGTAATGATGCTATTTTGTGTCTTTTTTATGTAGTTTAATAATACAGTTTTAAAGTTAAACACCTTTCAAAATCTCGAATAGGTACGTTCTCTTGTACATGGAACGTTTGTTATAAAACCATTCAAATAAGTTGATTGCGTTATCTTTACTAAACAACACGTTTTCAATAATCTTTTTAAGCACAAGCTTTCTGAGAATCCAACATATTGGCTAGCTAGTTGCAACTAACATATAGACATTCTTTTACCATACAATCCATGATAGATGCCGAATGCTGACTGTCAAACTTTTAATACAGGAGTTTCGAGAGATGTAGGTTGATGAACGTCGAAGTGAAAGTCTATGTGCTCCGTTTCAGTTATGCTCATTTGTTTTCCTAATAGTTTCATTTAACCTCCACCTGTTTTCTCTTGCAGAACGTATCACTCCATCGCTTACTGTTCCGGAATACATTGTCCGTATTCATAAATCATATCTATATACAGGCCCGGTCTTCTTCTCTTCCATTATTTTCAAAGGTATTCGTGTTAATCTTCCCTTTGTTTTCTTTGACTTCGGTTTTCTTTTGTATAATAACACAGAATAATAACAGTGATCAGTAAATAAATAATTTGTCGCAAATCACTATTAATTTTATTGAAATCTACTTCAGGAACTACTGATTGTGTATGCTTGGACTCATTGAAGATATTTCTGCATAACAGATGTGACTTTAGCATATTGTTTATAGATACAATGCCGAACCGCATTACATAGAACAGGCGTAGTTTGTAAACCATCCGCCTTGAGGCCACCCTTAAAGTATTTTTATAATGCTACTTAAAATAATCATTAAAATGTATAGCATTTATGTTAAAGAAATATTTTTAGATGATAAAGTCGTACAAGTACGTGTACTATTCTATAAATTAAACTTTGTAGTGATGCTGTTGCTAGGTCCTGGATTGGAAGGTGAACGTAACACACACAAAGGTGACTGTACTATTAAAACTTGGTAATAGAAACTGTGTTTCAAAATTGAATGACACTGTATCAGATATTCATTTCATCATAAAACTCATTGGTGATGCTAGGGTCACACCTTTGGATTTATCAAATTCAAATTAAGAGCAGAACTGGTTTATTTCAATTTAGTAATCAATAAAATTTGTATATTATGAACCGTGCCACTGCTCAAACAAGATAGCTGTGGATATGACGGTTGCAGCAAGTCTCGGGAACTAAAACATCCACCCGCAGCGTCTACAACTGTACCACTTTGTTGTCTATAAATATATGTTCCTATAGGGAACGCAATAATATTAATGAACTTGTAAGTCACTCTTTGCTTGGAAAAGAGTGACTTACAAGTTCAGTAATTGTACCACCTTGTATCGTGAAAGATAAACGTAACACACACACATAGACACACAAGTGACTGTCCCTTTAACATGTAACACTCACACATACACACACAAGTGACTGTTCCTTTAACATGTAACACTCACACATACACACACAAGTGACTGTCCCTTTAACATGTGGTAATGGAAACAGTATACCAAAAAGGTTACAGCGACGCGGTACTTAATACGGCCGTCACACGTTGAATGAACAGTTATTTTATCGTTGAAATATATGTAATATTTGTGTTTAATTGATGTTAAAGGAGAAATAATTCAAAATACATGTACCTGGTAGATCAATGAGTGCAATTTGCATTAATAAATGCAAGGGAAATAAGTCTAATACTTATGGTCAGTTTTGTGATTACACTGGCTCCACTAATTCAGGAGGCATAACTCCAAAAATTACACTCGGATAATGGTTGTTATCCAACTTGTCCGGGCCTTCGTGGAAAGTTACCTCCCTAAGAAGTTTGAAGTTAATCTGTTATACACATTATACTAGATATTGGGCGGACACCATTTTGGTAATGGTATGAATGGTCATTACTCCGTAAATAAAAGTATGTTATTGGTTGTTATCGGAATCATATAAGCTCTCGCGGTTATTTACCTTTTATGAAGTTTGAAGCCAATCCATTGAAAATAACTCGGTATTGGAGGACACCATTTCAGCAATTGAACATATGGGCACATCTCTGTTAATTCCAGACGGACAATGGTTGTTTTCAAGCTCGTTCCTTTCACTAATTACTGTCGGATATTGATGGTTATCGAACTTGTCCAAGCACTCGTGCTACTTAAACTCCCTTTATTCGTACCGGCATCGATAAATCAAGTGCATCAGAAATGTAAATTAAAGGAATGAAAGAATTTTGATATCATAACAACATTTGGTTCCTGGACATATTTACCATGAATCACATTATCAATTCCTTAGCTATCAAACTTCGTAGTAAAGTAGCACAAGCTTATTAAGAAATAGTTATAAAGCTCACTATCATTTTACTTAACCGTTTCCAAGCAAATCGAAACCTTGACTCTATTTAAAACCTCCATGGGCTTCTTCGTTTTGGAAGCGTTTTTTCAAAGTTCATATAAAAAGAGGGCATTTTGTGATTGAAAACTCGTCAGAAAAAAGCAAAGAATTTTCTATGTATGCATTCTACTTGTCTTAAATAAATTTCCGTTTATGCATTCCACTTGTCGAAATTAAATTCCCGATAAGCGACGATATACTTAATATCCATATGTTGTAACATAATGTTAAAAGTTGGTGGGTAATACAATGGCTTTTACATTAAGGATGTTAACCAATGGAAAGTGGACAGAAACGCTGGACAAATGTATCGTCAAACAGATCTTACCATGGGAGAGAAAATATATAACAAGATGATCACAACATAACTGACCAAAACGATTGACACACAGATGATCTTCATATAAGAAAATATTAAAGAAACAATTAATTAACTCACCGCGGAACTGCAGCAGCACAATAAGTATAAACAATGCTCCACTACAGTACCCCATCGTGACGGCCACCCTACACTACGTTTGTGTGGCTCTGTTCGTTTATTTTAATAAAGACTATCGGGGGTTACATAATTTCCTGGTTACCAATTACATAACATGTCTATCCTATACATACAATGTTAAATGCTTTATCAGCACCATAAAAGTGTCATCGAAAACGTACTGTCTCTAAGCCTAGCTACGCGTTGTGAAAGTTGTTTACATAAAATGAAAGTTAAATGTGCGCATGTCCAGGATCAATGTAAAAGAGATTACTCCTCTGCTTCCTTCCGTAATACATTTAATAAAAAAATCTGAAATTATTCCGAAGTCGAAATAGACCGTCACAGATTTCATCAAGTGGTCATTTATTCGTTTTATATAATGAGCAATTCGGTCCTGATATTTAAAAAAGAAATCAGTAATTTTTTGTTAACCCCACATTGGCTTTTTATGATATGTACTAAAGAGTTATAAGTTTCATGTATATTATATTTCTGTATTTTTATGCTTTATTTCAAATTCGGAAAATTTCGTCAAATTTCATAAATAAATACTTAGTCACCTTCTTTGAGGGTGACCTTTTTCATTCTTATTCTTTGTTGTGTCGTTTCTTGTTATAGTGAATAGTTGCATGTTTATGCATCGGAAATAATTAACAAGATCATTATAAATATAATATATCTGATACATACCAGTAAGAGTTATGTTCCTTGCGACGTAACTAGTAGTCCCTTATAATTTCTGAGAGGATGAAGGTCACGGATCAGCTGATTGGTCAGTTAATTTCAGGGGACGCTGCGACCCCTTCTTATCAGTCAGCCATCTTAGATTAAAACTGTTTCATATTCGATCCAGTAAAGCTTATAACATTTCTTTTCAAAAATACACCCCCTCTACACCCCNTTTTATTCATAATATGACGTGTTTTTTATACCCCACATTGGCTTTTTATGATATGTACTAAAGAGTTACAAGTTTCTTGTTCATCAATTTCTAATTTGGCAAATTTCCTCAAATTTAATAAATAAATACTTAGTACCTCTCCTCCAACTCTTGCGTGCAGGTGTTTGTGTCACCTCATCTTTTTTTAATGTCGTATGATGAAAACGGATAAAAAGAAAAAAACTGCGAAGGGGGAAAAATCCCTTTTTCAGATTAGAATTCATGCTAAATTGGGCAGTAATATGGCACTGGAGGAGGACAGAGGTGTGAATGCAAGTCATCAATTTCAGCCAATAAGTGACCAGTATTTCTGTGTAAAGGCTAATCAAGCGTCAGTTCCAAAAGGAAATTTACGGTGTATTGTTTTAGCAGAATACGAAGTTTGCTTATTTTGTAATTCTAGGAACGTACATTATTACCGGTAGGTGGCGTATGTCTCGTTTATGAATATCTGAGCTCATTTACTGAAGTATTTTACCGGAAGTTACGTGGAGCTTGCATGACCTACAGTCAAGTGGCAGTTCCCGATTGATGGAAACGGGGTGCATTTTCCAGGAGAATACGGTGTTGTGATAAGATCAAACGTTCTACCAAGGAAATGAATTTTATTTACAAAACATTGAAGTGAATTTGACTCCAAAGTAATACATAATAAAGACAGTAGGTCCGGTTTATGTGTGATCGAGGATGTCAGGAGAACATATATTGTACATTGTAATGTTAGATGATGTATGTTATTATCTTATGGATTGTGTGCAGAATATATTGTGATTTACTGAACCTGTAAATACATGGAGTTTAGGTATAAAGTGGTTTATGTCTGGGTTGATTATTGTTGTATTTAAATGAACTGTGTTACGACCTACCTGTATATCATCCGGGGATTAGTATATGGCTACTTCCGTAGACTGGAGAGAATCGCCTGCTGATTTGTTGAAGCAGCCAGGATGATTTATACCAGGGTTCTGATTGGCCAATTCGTAATGCGATGTAAAGAAGTGTATAAATGCAGGTGTTTGACGTGTGAGCGTCAGAGAGGTGACATTTAGGCATCAGTTGTGCTGTCTCTGTCTCACCTCTTCTTGAACACTACAGGTACGGATTTCGGTCCATGCAGCCAGCATTATAGATTCATATAGGGACTTCAGAACCAAATGATTTTCCATAGACGATAGTGTTAACGTTTACCACTGTCCTGGTTAAATGGGGTTATCCACACTGGTTTACCTTGAATTCGGCACCAAAAAATGACCAAAATTTATAATAAATTACACACTTAATAAACTCCCCCAGACAAACGTAGACTTTTTTTATACATTTTCCATCTATATATATTGCTCAACCAACACATTAAACTTTTGAAACTTCTGACACCTAAATATCCAACCAACAGGCTCCGAGGCATTCACCTTCCTATTAAATCTTCTGCCCAAAAGGGAAAAATCCACATGAGTTGGTTCCGTTGTCCCTATAGGATGCCACATATTTTTCAAATTTACCATTTTTAGAAACAGCCAGGACCATAGGGTATGATACAAAAATGAGAAGTGTCTGGCTCCAAGGCTTGGTCTGGTAGGTCAAGTCTTCTACTGGTACTTAAGATGGAGATTCCTGCTAGAAAAGACAGGAAAATTGAATCAATTTTAAAATGTAAACTTAAATATCTTAATAAACATTTTATTTACACTCACGGTTTTGAGTTTTTATTAAAGTAAAGGTACTGTACTATTTAGAAATATAAACAAATAACATATTGTCTACTATTTAGAAATATAAACAAATAATATATTGTCTGAAGATCAGGGGAGATAACTCAATTTTCAGACCTATACCCCTTTAATTTTGGACTTTTTGTAAAATATTCAAGACACCAGCAACTATTTAGAGAAAAGAGCAAAAAACTGAACCAAAAGTAAAGAATAATAACTGTACAAACAGTACAACACCACCATGATAGGATTACATAATGTTTACATAACAGCAGCTGAGATGAAATACAGTGATAGGAGAGGGCTGCACCATGGTGTAAGGGAGGTAATCGTGAAGTAATCGTGAAGTGTTACCAAGGTGTGCAATGTGAGTGCAGGACCAAATTAATAGTGTGTGCAGGGAAGAAAAGAAATAACTTGCTAACAGACAACGTTTATTTACCAAGTGATTTCATGATCAGCGGTGGAGAGGCAACGTTAAGGCCTGTCTCGGTGACTCCTTGGTGGAAATGACCCTGAGGAACCTGTCGACTCAAAAGGTAGAATCTGAGAACAGACGGCTGAAGCAGTCTCCCCCATCACGTGTAAACTTTACTCGTAACTTTTCAGGGAGAGCTCATAGGGCGGTGTATCATGTGAACCATGGACCGGGGTTTGCTATTAAAGAACTGTGTAGTGGGGTTGGGTCAATAATTGAGAACTTAAAAAATGGCCGAAACACATCCTTGATTAGATTCACAACCAGAAATATGCTGGTGGGTCCCATCATCTGGTTTCCAGGTATGCCTGTAAAACGTCAATTTCTGCATCTTTCCATTTTGTATTGAATTCGGCAACAAAAAATTACCAAAATTTACAACAAATTACACACTTAATAAACTCCCCCAGACAAAAGCAGAACATTTTTTTTTATACATTTTACATCTATATACATGTATATTGCTCAACCAACACATACAACTTTTGAAACTACTGCCACCTAAATATCCAATCAGCAGGCCCCGAGGCATTCACCTTCCTATTAAATCATCTGCCCAAAAGGGAAAAACCCACAATATATTTTTGAGTTGTTTCGTGGTCCCTATAGGGATATTAGGATAGGTAAGCAATATGGGTGGAGAGATATTATGAATGTTACTGCACGGATTGTGAGTGAGTGTATTGCAGGGTCGGAGCGAGTGTGGTGTTCCATCGTGTTTGTTCTATGTTTTTGTCTTATGTCTTATTGAATAAATAGATATTTTATCTGCAATAACCTCTTTGTCGTCAAATCCTAAAACCCGGACAACAACGAGAGCTGACCAGGTGTCGCTCTCCTGTTACATATGATTCAAATATTACAATTTTCTCCCGACAGGAGGCATGTCTCGAAACAGCGTTTATGAATATTCCTAGCTCATTAACTGAAGTAATACCAATAGCTTGCAGTTAACGCCTTAGCTAAAAACGGCGCATGGAATACTCAATTTGTCTAAGTATCAAAATATTTCTACCACTGATCACTAATGTTTACGGTAATTTAGTTCTGTCCACGAAAACTTTAATGATTTAGAATATCGCACTTAACTAATTAATCTAGCATGTATAACTAACTGGGTAAATTTTACAAAGTTCTGTTTCTGATAGTGCTAGTTTTACCCAACAGTGTAATGAGTTATGTTGATCAAGCTGTCAGCTGAGACACTGATGTGTATGTATTCCTAGGCTGAATGCGCCGCAACAAAATAACTACAACATTACTAATTTAATGCAGTATTAACGATTCCCAATATGATTCAACAAATTGAAATAACGATTTTGAAGAAGCCCTAGAAGGCAGAAAGGCCTAGCGGTAGATCTTACAAATTTGTTATTTTATTCTATATTTTTCTTTGCAAGAACTTGTTTATTTATTATCAAATGACGTCAGTAGCTCCATTTAAAGATTAATTTTGTTACAATGAATTAGTTTTTGTGTCAATAAGCTACATAATATATGCTTTATATAATATATGATATGATATGCTATATTCTTGAGAATAAGACGACCCTCTCCTCAGCACTAAACAAAATACCATATCCTTAGATACTTGCGTATATCTTCATACTACACAATTCTTTGTTAAATACACAGCTCCCTTGCTAATATATTGTTGCTATATCTCCACGTAAATTAGATTCAGAGAAAATATTGTCATATGTTCTTATAAATTACTGCAGTGAATTAGCACTTCTATATCAGAACTTAGAAATAATGAACCAAAGTAAAACAATTTTTGACGATGTTCTTATTCAGAATTTATTAATAACGATGAACAATAAGTATATATTCACACGCATCTATTAAAAATAAAAATGAAAAAACTCAATCAAATTGGTAATTCAACGAGAAAACTTCTGACGGATTTACTATTCTAGCCTACGAATTAAAGCTAGTGATGACTAATATAATTGTCCCCTACCTTTAGGGTGAGACAGAGAAATCTCCAACACGAGGGGTGATGTTTTTTGGTTGTCTAACCCGAGGCTCTGCCGAAGGTTAGACAACCAAAAGAATCACCCCGAGGGCTGGAGATTTCTCTGTTACACCCTCAAAGTAGGGGATGGTTATGTTTCTCCCATCCTATTATTTTAGTCACAACTCCACCGACAGTAGGCTGTCATGTTTGTAAACAAAAACATGTCGGGTATGCATATCGCTATTCGCTTTTGATGACGTCACAATTACTGGTGACACATTTTAATGACGTCACAATTGAACACGTGCTAATCGGCACGAGGCTTTCTCCCCCTAGGGGGTGACAAGCTGATCTAAAACGGGAGACACACATGTGAAGGGTGGGATAAAATGTACCAAGTGCTTTGAATAACACTTCGGTTTCCACAGAAAAAAATATCGTTGATGAGCAAACATAGATACAATAAGTAATAATATGATTCTATTTTTGTTCGTAACAAATATATAGAAAATGCATAATTGCATTTATGATATCACAGCAAACAGAGTATAAATATAACATATAAACATAGATGACTGTAAAAATATGAAATTGTTTTGCATTGCAGATGTCTTTTAATTTATCTGATAGTTTATATTTCACAAAATATTAACGATTAAACACGTTTTTTGTGGTTATTGAAAAAGAACTATAATAAAAGATATGTTAAACAGAAACGAATATATTATTAGATGTAACTATTTTGTAATGGAATTCGGAATGGCTTACTCCTCCAATGAGTATAAACAGCTTTGCATTTTAAGGATAAACCAGGAGAAAAGAGCTAACTGTTTCAATAAAATGGCATAAATAACAAACTTTTAAGGATACAGATACATTAGGATTATCACCCTAAAATTATTTTGATTTACCTCGTGATCGCCAGTCATAACTACTTAGTTAATAGGATATTTCAATAGGGTCAAGGATGCATCAACCAGTATTTTCTTATCATTGAATTACAGATTATCAGTGTCCAAAACAATACATGTTCATTTCATTGACCCTATAGTATGGTAGCAGATACACAGGAATAGTGGATTCATCCTGCACAACGCACCTATATATATATATTTATGAGCAACATTTTGAATACATCTTTTTTTAGATGTTTTAAAAGTGTTTTCTTCAGACTTGGAACTTGTGAAAACCATGGTTACCACATCAAAACATGACAATGTGACCCACGCAAGCAGTATTTTGTTTTCTTAAAACCAGTCTTAAATTAAATATCACCTACTCAGTAACAGAAATACTTACGTTTTAGCATAGGTCGTTAAACTGGATTTTTTAAAATTTGTACACATGTGCTGAGTACAAAAATAGACTTCATGTAAATAGCCAAAAATGTATTCTCAAACCGAATTCGATTTTTATTTCTATTTGTTTTTTTTTAAATATAAAACCCACATAGTCCACCTCATCGTGTTTATGCCATTTTTAGTGCTGTTTATTTATTTATTTTTATTTTGATACATGTGATATTACAGGGGTTATTCATTGCACAAAAATATCACCCTTGACCACCGTACGCTACTGTATACTGCTACCTTATACATCACTTCATGTCCAAATGTTGCATATATATCACATTACTGATTGGCGTTGAATGTGTCCCTTGCATTAACATTATTAGGAAATATTCAATATGTTCATCACATTGCATTAGCAGTATCAAATGAAATATGGTTAATACATTGATTTACTGGTATATTATTTAGACAATTCATATTAAAACAAAAGGAATGGATACGAACCCTCATAATAATGTTCTATGTAATATAAGTTCCGTTATTGAGTACACAATGAGTCAAAATATCAAAATAATTCTAAAACTGATTACTATCTATCTACAAGACATAAAGTCCATGAAAACTTCAATAATCAAGAACAATTAATGAATAAATATAGCCGGTATAACTAATTGGATACATTTTACATAGTTCTGTTTCTGATAGTGCTAGTTTTACCCAACAGTTTAATGAGTTATGTTGATCAAGCTGTCAGCTGAGACACTGATGTGTATGTAATCCTAAGCTGAATGTGCCGCAAAAAAAAATAACAACAGCCTGACTAATTTGGTGCAGAATTAACGATTCCCAATTTAATTTAACAAGTTAAAATAACGTTCTTAGAAACACATATTATGTTCTTACTTGTAAAATTACGTTTTGATATGCCGCATTGTGTACATGATGGCAGCGACGTCGGAAAATAAATAAATAACTGGCATAACGACAAAAAGGAAAAGTCCATTTAAATTGTGTAAAAGTTGAGAGCTAATGATTGATAATGAAAAAGAAAGGGAAATATGTTTAGGAGGACAAAAGAAACAATACACAATGGATACTGTAACTCATCTACAAATATAAGACTCTGTATCAAATCTATATAGTTATGGTACTGTAACAAATACAAAAACTCCAGAAATGTATCAAAGCTACATACATTGGATACTGTTAAAATCAAACGTCATTTTACTCAAAAAGGTACATTTGTGGTAAAGCCGCCCAAGAAATTGGTATACAACTTTATCAGTTAAAAACATATTTTATCCTCCATCAACTGTATCCATAGGTAATGAAATCTTAATTTCTTTCTTTAAAGTATACAGTTGATTGACTCGTTCCTGATGATTGGAAGCAGCGAAAAGAACAAGAACACACACACACACACACTTACCTAGTGCCTACTTCTATGATAAAACGTTAGAAATATGTATCCTTCTTAATAACCTAAAAGTTGATATATCACGAAATCTGAATGATTTACTGAAATATTAAGCCTTGAAAATATAACAAGTTTTATAGCTATAGTTACGTATGTTCTGTGTGTTGCGGTTGGGGAAAAGATATAATGCAGTCCGGGGACATTCCAAGTGCACTCATCAGAGCGGTAACCAATGCACATGGCCAGTACTTTAGGGATTTTCTTGGGTTGTTGCTGGTCCGGCGCTGTTCCAAGCAGATGGAATGTTGCTCGATTGTGCAATAGGCTCCGTTGAATTCCCTGGTTGTACTACTGGTACAGTCGGGTGATGGACTGGAGGAGGGTAGGCCTGCGGAGTAAAGGCCTGCGGTGGGAAGGCCTGTGGTGGGTAGGCCTGTGGTGGGTAGGCCTGGGGCGCCTGGTAACCCTGTGGTAGGTAGCCATAAGTCTGTCCTGGTATCTGCTGTTGCATGGGTATGTTCATATTATCGCTCACTGCATATAAATGAAAAATGATTACAAAACAGCAACTGTCACTTATAATTACAATGATATATCTTTTTCTTTAACTCTAAAACGTTTACCATTTTTTTTTTAGTGAACGTCGTAATGCACTTAGCGAAAGTGTTCAAAATGGAACATGCATACATATTGATTGCCGTTGAGTTGACTATAGACGAGGTGTTCCGATAAATCTTCCGGGAAAAATACTATTTCGTTTACTTTCGTTTTAAAGTTTGACCGAAGATTTTACGAGCGATGAATAAGGAATAAGGATGTTTATTATCAGAAAACTGTTTGATCTACACGTATTGACAATCAATAATATTAAATAATAGATTAATGGGGGGTTTTCGGAACACTACGTGTTCACTTTTATGTTTTCTATTTGTCTCTAATAATATATGGAAACGGATATTTAGATAAAGATAGGTATTTCTTTTCATTTTAATGCTGGTATGAACGCAAATCGGTTACATGTATGATAAAGGCTGGCTTCATTGTAAAATGTATGTAACTTGTTACATTTATGGTGATGGCGGGCTTCATTGTAATATGTATGTTACCAGTTACATGTATGATTAGGGCGGGCTTCATTGTAATATATCTGTAACTAGTTACATGTATGGTGATGGCGGGCTTCAATGTAAGATGTATGTTACCAGTTACATGTATGGTGAGGGCGGGCTTCATTGTAATATGTATGTTATCAGGTACAAATATGATGATGGCTGGCTTCATTGTAATATGTATAATGTATGTTACCGGTTACATGTATGGTGATGGCTGGCTTCATTGTAACATGTATGTAACCAGTTACATGAATGGTGATTGCGGGCTTCATTGTAATATGTATGTTACTAGTTACATGTATGGTGATGGCGGGCTTCAATGTAAGATGTATGTTACCAGTTACATGTATGGTGAGGGCGGGCTTCATTGTAATATGTATGTTATCAGGTACAAATATGATGATGGCTGGCTTCATTGTAATATGTATAATGTATGTTACCGGTTACATGTATGGTGATGGCTGGCTTCATTGTAACATGTATGTTACCAGTTACAAGTATGGTGATTGCGGGCTTCATTGTAATATGTATGTTACTAGTTACATGTATGGTGATGGCGGGCTTCATTGTTATATGTGTGTAACTAGTTACATGTATGGTGATGGCGAGTTTCATTGTAATATGTATGTTACTAGTTACATGTATGGTGATGGCGGGCTTCACCGTAATATGTATGTAACTAGTTACATGTATGGGGATGGCGGGCTTCACTGTAATATGTATGTAACGAGTTACATGTATGGTGATGGCGGGCTTCAATGTAAGATGTATGTTACCAGTTACATGTATGGTGATGGCGGGCTTCATTGTAATATGTATGTTATCAGGTACAAATATGGTGATGGCTGGCTTCATTGTAATATGTATAATGTATGTTACCGGTTACATGTATGGTGATGGCTGGCTTCATTGTAACATGTATGTTACCAGTTACATGTATGGTGATTGCGGGCTTCATTGTAATATGTATGTAACTAGTTACATGGATGGTAATGCGGGCTTCATTGTAATATGTATGTTACCAGTTACATGTATGATTAGGGCGGGCTTCATTGTAATATATCTGTAACTAGTTACATGTATGGTGATGGCGGGCTTCATTGTAATATCTATGTTACCAGTTACATGTATGGTGATGGCGGGCTTCATTGTTATATGTATGTAACTTGTTACATGTATGGTGATGGCGAGTTTCATTGTAATATGTATGTTACCAGTTACATGTATGGGGATTGCGGGCTTCATTGTAATATGTATGTTACCAGTTACATGTATGGCGATGGCGGGCTTCATTGTAATATGCATGTTACCAGTTACATGTATGGTGATGGCAGGCTCATTGTAATGTGTATATTACCAGTTACAGGTATGGTGATAGCGGGCTTCATTGTAATATGTATGTTATCAGGTACAAATATGGTGATGGCTGGCTTCATTGTAATATGTATAATGTATGTTACCAGTTACATGTATGGTGATGGCGGGCTTCATTGTAATTTGTATGTTATCAGGTACAAATATGGGGATGGCGGGCTTCATTGTAATATGTATAATGTATGTTACCGGTTACATGTATGGTGATGGCGGGCTTCATTGTAACATGTATGTAACCAGTTACATGTATGGTGATGGCGGGCTTCATTGTAATATGTATGTTATCAGGTACAAATATGGTGATGGCGGGCTTCATTGTAATATGTATAATGTATGTTACCGGTTACATGTATGGTGATGGCTGGCTTCATTGTAACATGTATGTAACCAGTTACATGTATGGTGATTGCGGGCTTCATTGTAATATGTATGTTACCAGTTACATGTATGGTGATGGCGGGCTTCATTGTAATATGTATGTTACCAGTTACATGTATGGTGTTGGCGGGCTTCATTGTATTATGTATGTAACTAGTTACATGTATGGTGATTGCGGGCTTCAGTGTAATATGTTTGTTACCTGTTACATGTATGATGATGGCGGGCTTCATTGTAATATGTATGTTACCAGTTACATGTATGGTGATGGCGGGCTTCATTGTAATTTCTATGTTTCCAGTTACATGTATGGGGTTTGCGGGCTTTATTGTAATATGTATGTTACCAGTTACATGTATAGCGATGGCGGGCTTCATTGTAATAAATATGTACCTAGTTACATGAATTATGATGTCGGACTTCATTGTAATATGTATGTTACCAGTTACATGTATGGTGATATCGGGCTTCATTGTAATAGGTATGTAACTAGTTATATGTATGGTGATGGCGGGCTTCTTTTTAATATGTATGATACCAGTTACATGTATGGTGATGGTTGACTTCATTGTGATATGTATGTAAATTGTTACATGTATGGTGATGGCGGACTTCATTGTAATATGTATGTTACCAGTTACATGTATGTGTTGGCGGGCTTCATTGTAATATCTATTTTACCAGTTACAGGTATGGTGATGGCGGGCTTCATTTTAATATTATGTTACCAGTTACATGTATGGTGATAGCGGGCTTCATTGTAATTTGTATGTAACCGGATACATGTATGGTGATGGCGGGCTTCATTGTAATATGTATGTTACCAGTTACATGTATGGTGATTGCGGGCTTCATTGTAATATGTTTATTACCAGTTACAGGTATGGTGATAGCGGGCTTCATTGTAATGTGTATGTAACTAGTTACAGGTATGGTGATGGCGGGCTTCATTGTAATATGTATATTACCAGTTACATTTATGGTGATGGCGGCCTTCATTGTAATGTGTATGTAACTAGTTACAGGTATGGTGATGGCGGGCTTCATTGTAATATGTATGTTACCAGCTACATGTATGGTGATGGCGGGCTTCATTTTAATATGTATATAACTAGTTACATATATGGTGATGGCGGACTTCATTGTCATCTGTATGTTACCAGTTACAGTTATGTTGATGGCGGGCTTCATTGTAATTTGTATGTTACCAGTTACATGTATGGTGATGGCGGGCTTCATTGTAATTTCTATGTTACCAGTTACATGTATGGTGTTTGCGGGCTTTATTGTAACATGTATGTTACCAGTTACATGTATAGCGATGGCGGGCTTCATTGTAATAAATATGTAACTAGTTACATGAACTATGATGTCGGGCTTCATTGTAATATGTATGTTACCAGTTACATGTATGGTGATGGCAGGCTTCATTGTAATATGTATGTTACGTGTTGCATGTATGGTGATGGCGGGCTTCATTGTAATATTTATGTTACCAGTTACATGTATAGTGATGGTGGGCTTCATTGTAATATATATGTAACTAGTTACATGTATGGTGATGGCGGACTTCATTGTAATATGCATGTTATCAGTTACATGTATGGTGATGGTTGGCTTCATTGTAATACGTATGTTACCAGTTACATGTATGGTGATGGCTGGCTTTACTTTTATATGTATGTTACCGGTTACATTTATGATGATAGCGGGCTTCATTGTAATATGTATGTAACTAGTTTGCATAAATATCGGCATGTACATTGAAAACATTAGTTCAATCCTTATAGTTACATTCTAAATTGTTAGTCATTCTTGACTTTAACAATGATATTCACTTATATTTTTACGAGAGTTCTGTTACAGTCTGACGTCACCAAAATGTTCATTCACGCCGACCCAATTTCTTGGGGGAACTTGTAGTGGACATGTAGATGTATTTAAATACAGTAAATCACATACCTATAGCAACACCCTGTTGCCCAGTTGGTGCGGGGGCTACCATGACACGGCCTACTTTGTTTTTGTTTGTATGCTTGCAGCAACAACAGATCCCAATAACCATCACTATAAAGAAGACCACACTTCCGACAGTAGATCCAACGACTACACTTGTCCTGTCAACAGAAAAAGTGATTTCGACATTATCGCTTTCTTCAATGAGAGATTCACTTTTGGGCTGGTTGCGATCCCTTGATTAATGAAACAGTATAAACGAAGACGGAAAGCATGGTAACGTAATAAAAACTATTGTGACACTATTTGAAAAGATGCCTAGAAAGGTATTTAGATATACCTTCTGAATGATGAAATTCTAAAATTTGTCTGTAAGTTATGCTTATAAACAGCACAATCATCCTACTTCCCTTTCATGACGCATGGTCGTCTTACGGAAGAGAGTGTTGTCTTTAAGTTGTTTTATTAAAGCAAGCGTCGCCTTTTCTAAAAAAATACTTACCATGAATCTTTATTTTTGTAGTATGTGTTGTCGTACGAGTAGGACGAGTAACAACAGAAACGGGAGGTAGTGTAACCACAGCAACCGTATGAACAGTAGTCATAGTAATTGTAGTAGTAATATCCGTAGTAGTACGAGTACTGACGCTCGTAGCAGATGCTAGCTGAAGATATGTTTCCTGTCACAAATAAAGGTTTATGATATATTAGGCAAGATTATTCACAAATAATGTTACGTTCTTCATGTATATAAAAGTATGTGTGATATCGAGCGTAAAATCTTTAATCTCAGCCTTGGAAACTGATTTTAACAGGTGGGCCCACATATAAGTATTTCTATGTCAGGTCCAGTACAAAGTACAACCAACGAGATATTTCGTTCTGTAAGTATCAATAAGTTGTTGAATCCTGTGACTTTGTATTGGATATCTGTCCATTGTTAGTTCTCCGATGGTATATGACGTAGTACGGTCGTCTTTCATTTATTTCAAAACTGAAATAAACTGTCAAATCTAACACATATAGTATTAAACTATGTCTCCTTTGGGTACTCTCTGCTCTGAACATTGCTAAGATGTGATAACTCCAAAGAGTATCGAAGAACATAGGCTGTTCATTATTGCGCGACAACGGGAAGCCGAAACAGCGACAGCTACAATAAAACATTGAGAGTACACACACAAACTATGAGGATTGTTCAGGGAATCAGGTAACAGATGATAGGTCTGTAGGACAACTTATAATACAGGATGAAACAAACCCGTATACAATAGGCGCAAAATTATAAAATCATAGGTTTATGAGATTGCAACATATTTAATCGCCACGCATAGACTTAAACATTTTTATAATCATATCGTTAAATTTACGATCGTGGATGCTAAATTTGTTCCTACACTGCCAAAGAGTCATTAAATGTAATCCATAAATTGCTGAATTAATGATTCAAGATAGGTTTCTAGCACTATCCGTTTAAGTATGTTATATGAGGTCGTTATGCATAACATTAATTGTACATGGTGGACAGGAATTAATTGAAGAAGCGATTAGTGACGTAATTCAAAATCTGCAATTTTGCAAGTTTATTTTATGAATTTGACAAAACTGATAACACTGCAAATAGAACATAACCCTTTCATTTTGGTTAGGATGGGAAAAGTGATGTAGAAATTTGTAAAATATAATTGTATAGCCTGTGCATTTTCACAATTATATATTACATGCATAGTATTTTCATCGCAAATTTAGATAAAACATTGTACTGTTGATATATTGTTTTTTTGCTGTAGTTTAATACCATAGTTTTAACGTTAAATACCTTTTAAAATCTCTAATTAATATGTCCTCTTGTACATGTAACGTTTTGTATAAAATCATAAGTTGATCATGTGATCTTTACTTAACAAGTTCTGAATAATCTTTTTAAGCATAGGCTTTCTGAGCATCCAAGATATTGACAAGCTACACAATGTACAATAAAACTGTAGTCAAATAGCATATCAACAATCTTTTACCTTATAAATTCCATATCTTTTTTCGCCTGTTTATTGAACGTTCGATTTTATTTAAAACTTGACACATTATTACATGATATTAATTTGTATCAAAACAAAACTCTCTACTTTGTATCAACACCGAACACTAGTTTTTTTAAAATCCATGTCATTGTTTTTAACATATGTCGAGGTGATTCCTTGAGGTATTTTAAAGTATTTTTAACGTGATCTGTGATGGTCTATAGCCTTGATGGTATGGATAGGCCAAATCTCAGGGACGACCTAAACCGGTGACTAGCAATTTCATTACAAGTATAGTTATTAATATAATGTTTCATACATATCATCCAGTATTGTTTTACCATCATATCATCAATGTGTTTGGATCAATGTGCTGGATTGGTATGGATTGGCCAAACCATTCAGTTCGTTGATCAGAAAACCCATTGCTTGCAGAAGCATGTATCATCATTATCTACATTGAATGGATCAAGTGTCGAGGATGTCTATTTGGACCAACCCTTATGCAGCGTTATGTGACAATGTGCAAATAGTTGTCAAGATCCTGCAGGTGTCCTATATATAGTTATAGTGAATTTGTATTCACTGGTGTGGATAGATCACCTGTAAAGTTGACCTATATTATACAAGATAATATATGCATATAAGCATATTCTTTACCATAATTGCGGAAGATCTTTGTTAATAAATCTACTCGTTTTTTGGTACATTCTATATCTGTATAGTCCATACATCATAATTCTGGTCGTGTTATTACTGTTTAATGAAACCTTGTGGGTAGCGAGGCAACAGGTTTTATGACAGTGATAATGTGTTATTGTTACTAGTGCAATAAGTTTTCATATAATCAATAACCTATGTAATAAATGTTAATATGATTTTATGTAGCGACAGGAGGCTTTCATCAAACCGGGGGAGTGTGTAACTCATGTAACCCTGTACCCCATGTGTACTAGGTTCACTGCACTAACACATCATCTATCACGTGCATAACATTGTCATTCTTACATAAGTAAATACATGTCAGTATGTACGTGCGTGCGTATGATTGGTTGAATTGGGTGAGGAGTATAAAAGGAATGCACGGGCAGACCGGAGTCCTGTCACGTCCCAACCCAACTCTCTCCAGCCATTCCTCTTCAGGACTCGTAGGAGTCAACATCCACCGTATCAGCCCTGGTAAGTCGGTCTGTAATGTTCACATTGTCATTGTACGTTTGTAATTTACCGTCTTGTATACTCGCGTCTTTGTATTCATGTCGATGTATGTAAGTTCAGGTCAATGTGTTATCAAATGTATCTATTGTATTCGTTTGTTAATATTACAGGTTTTTCCTACGGGAATAAACAATATAAAACATCCAAGCCTGTCTTCTTGTGATTTGAGGGGCAAGGGGCTACAAATTCTTATCGAATTAGCGTTTTGTTCAACCTCCTCCACACACCCCCACACTCACACCCAACCCACCACTCTTTTTTTCCTTTTTTAATCTGAATACTCTAATGAAAGTGTTTTCACTTTTAAATTGATTCGATATTCTTTAGCTTGTGTAAAATTCACATGATAGATGTCGCATGCTGACGGTCAAACTTTCATTACAGGGTTTCGTGAGATGTTGGTTCATGAAGACATTTAGTAAGGTGTATGTTTGCATTCTTGATCTCATTGGGAAATATTTGAAGTATGTGTGTCCCGTTTTGGTTATGCTCGTTTGTTTTATTATAGTTTTATTTTACCCAACCAGGTTCTTTCTTAAAGCACATATCTTTTTGTCGTTTACTCTTCCGGAACACCTGGTCCGTATTCATAAATTATCTTCATACTCAAACCCAGATTCACAGATGAATTGTTCATAAAATTCACATTTTTAAAATTATTTGGTGAACTTTAGAGAGGCTTGAAGCCAAATCATATTTTCAATTTACCTCGTTCTTTTTCAGTTAACTGTGTTTGTGAATAACGCAATTTTAAAAGTTGGTTTGAACACATAATTATTGCTTAAGTGGATAAAGATTACACGAATACAGGCCCGGTCCTTTTCCCGTCATACTTTTTCAATGATCCCCGTGTAAATCTTTCCTTTGTTTTCTTTGACTTCGATATTCTCTTGTATCATTACATGGAGTAGATAATAGTAATCAGTAAATCAACAAATTGTCGTGAATCATAATTAATTTATTAAAACATTCATGAATCATGAATTAATGTCTAAATATACTACAGGGACTACTTATTCTGTATGCTTCGACCCATTGACGAATTGACATTGATTTCTGCATGATATATGTGACTCTAGCAATTGTGTATAGATACAATGTCGGCCCACATAGCGTAGTACATGTGCTGACGTAGTCTCTAAACCACCCGCCTTGAGGCCGCGCGTAGGGTATTGCTAGTATGCTACTTTAAATGGCCATTCAAAATGTGCAGCGTTTATGTTAGCTGTAGCAAAAGGTTGTTTTCAAATAGTAATATTCTATAAATTAGATTTTGTAAATGGTACTATATTGTGTTTATTTGATTGTGATGCTGTTGCTAGGGTCTACAGTGGAAGGTGGACGTAAAACACACAAAGGTGGCTTCATTTTATAAATTTGATAACAGAAACAGTGTGCCAAAGTGAATGACACTGTGTCATATATAGTTATTTCATCACAGTACTCATTGGTGATGCTAGGGGCATACTTGAAAATCTGAATTGTCTAACCACTGTTGAAACAGAGGGACAGGTACTTAAAAACCCTTGAATTGATCAATTTCAAATTAAGAGAAGTACTGGTTTATTTCAAATTCATTAATCTGTAAAGTTTGTATATCATGAACCGTGCCACTGCTTAAACAAGATAGCTGTGGCTATGACGGTTGCGCAAGTCTCGGGAACTAAAAAATCCACCCGCAGCGTCTACAATTGTACCACCGCGTATCGTGAAAGATAAACGTTAAACACACACATACACACACACGTGACTGTCCCTTTAACATGTAACACACACACATACACACACAAGTGACTGTCCCTTTAACATGTGACACACACACATACACACACAAGTGGCTGTCCCTTTAACCTGTGACACACACACATACACACACAAGTGACTGTCCCTTTAACATGAGACGTACACACATACACACACATGTGACTGTCCCTTTAACATGTGACACACACAAATACACACACAAGTGACTGTCCCTTTAACATGTAACATACACAAATACACACACAAGTGACTGTCCCTTTAACATGTGACATACACACATACACACACAAGTGGCTGTCCCTTTAACCTGTGACACACACTCATACACACACAAGTGACTGTCCCTTTAACATGAGACGTACACACATACACACACATGTGACTGTCCCTTTAACATGTGACACACACAAATACACACACAAGTGACTGTCCCTTTAACATGTGACGTACACACATACACACACATGTGACTGTCCCTTTAACATGTGACACACACAAATACACACACAAGTGACTGTCCCTTTTACATGTAACACACACAAATACACACACAAGTGACTGTCCCTTTAACATGTGGTAATGGAAACAGTATACCAACAAGGTTACAGCGACGCGGTACATAACACGGCCGTCACATGTTGAATTAGCAGTTGTTTTTATAGTTGAAATATATGTAATAT